TGTTAGCTCAGAGCCGGTCTTCCTCAGCAAAAAGAGGAGGATTGGCATGGATGTTAGCTCAGGGCTGATCTTCCTCACAAAAAAAAAAAAAAGAAGAAAAAATGAATAGCTTTAGATAAGTGTAGAGCTAGTTGGTAAGTCATTAATGGAAAAGTTTTATTTGGTCCAATATGTGAAGGCTCTTCATGCTCTATTTATATTATATAAACCAAAAAAAAAAGTCACTATACCTTTACCAGTATAAGTGCTTCTAAAAAGCACTGTACCACTCTAAATTCAAGGTACAAAAGCAGTTAAGGATATGCAGCACACTGCAAACAGCCAAGTGGCCAGCTAAAAGAAAACACATCTTTTTTTAAATTTACAAACACAGCAATTATATTAAGTGTATTTATTATGAATGTAACATAAAATGGTTTGGAAAAAGTCTAAATGTTGTCCGAATGATTGATTCTGATTTTAAAAATGGACAAATCCATCAAGTATAAAAACGTGTCATTCAATAGTGGGCATTTTTTTGCTCTCACCTCCCGCCTGTTTTTGTCAGAGGGAGATTTATAAACATTTGCCTAAAATTGTGTTTTACCTCTTTCAAAACTTACCTGAGGCTTAACATTTGTGGCCATGGGTTTTCACTGAAAACTGCTGTTGTAGCAGAATTTTTTTTCTTCCTCTTTCTAGAGCTTGTTTAGAAACGCTCGTTTCCAAGAAACTGTATAACTAAAGCCAATTTAGTGAGAAAACAGTACAACCTGATGGTTCAAAATGCCCATTAAATTTCATCTGGTGGTACGTGAGCAATACCAGGGGCTCCGACACTCGCACGGCAGGGCTGCCTGTGACTACAGACCACGTGTAAACGTCCAGCACGGCTCACTACACGAACATCAGAACAGGTGTTTAGGTGCTGTCACTGTCAGGATTTTGACATTTCAGAAATCACGCTACAAGAGAGCACCGTGCGACACCCTAGGCAGACTGCAAAGGGACGCGTCTGTTGCTCATAGCACAGAGCATGTGCAGGGGCGTGGCATGTGTACACAGTACACAGGGGACAGATAAGTTGTACTCACGGGGCCGGCCCCGTGGCTTAGCAGTTAAGTTCGCGCACTCCGATGCTGGCAGCCCGGGTTCGGATCCCGGGCGCGCACCGACGCGCCACTTCTCCGACCATGCTGAGGCCGCGTCCCACATACAGCAACTAGAAGGATGTGCAACTATGACATACAACTATCTACTGGGGCTTTGGGGGGGTAAAAAAATTAAAAAAAAAAAAATTAAAAAAAAAGTTGTACTCACGAATAGCTAAGCCTAATAAAAGATAAATAAGGATTCTCAGGCTTTTCTGAGTGAGAAGGATATTTAGTTGCTTTAAGTTATACAGAATACACTTTTACATTTCCATTTTTTTAACAGGAATTTACTGTTCACTGTGGTGCCTAGATACAATTGAAGTGTTCAATCCTAATCAAATTAAATTCTATTAAGTCTTTTGGGGACAAGGGTACCCCCTAATGAAAAAGTGTCCAATGTCAAGTTTTTTATGAACAAAGTAAAGGTTTATAAGTATTTTGGCATTTTATAGCCTATATTTTGGCATTTTATACCCTAGTATAGCCTGAAGGCTAATAAACTCAACAGAAAGAGAGAGAGGCTCGATGGCCAGCATGAATATGCTTTGTATCTCTTCTCCCGCTCTGGGGGATTTTATTAACAAAAACAAGGGCAATAGCGCCTTTTCACTGACCAAAGCAATCATCGTGTTCATCAGATCACACTGACACTTGCAAGTGACCAAAATTAAGTGACAAGCAAGTGAGGAAGTAGCAGGGGTGGCGCCTGTGAAAGGGAGTAGATGAATAAGGGGTGATGCGGGCAATGGGTGGGAAGCTGACACTGGGTTCATACTCTAAGATTAGTTAATCTTGACCTTGAAAACCAGAATAATTTCAGAGGTAAAAAATCACCACCACTCTTGAAGTGATGTTGAAGAGAAAAAAATTAGCCAGGGATAGGTTACAAGCATTAGGCAAAAAAAAAGAGACAGAAGCCAAATCAAGTCAATATAAAACAGTAATAAAATATAAAAATAAGACATTATTAAACTGTAGTGGATGTTATTCTAGGTCTCAAAAATTTGGAAGATATCTGTTTAAATTAAAATCTTACTGCCCCCAAAAAATCCAAAGTGAAAAAGTATCAATTTTAGTAAAGATATCAACATACATATATGCAGATATAGATACACATATGAATAATGCAAAACAGATTTACAAAAATGTTAATTTTGGCACTTTTACTTGGATTTTTAAAGAAAGCAAATACAGATATTGTTGCATACAAATTCTCATTCTGGAGAAACAGGATGTAGAAATAAAAGGTTCAAACATCTCCTTTCTTGAAAATAACATTGAAACATAACTTTACCCGTTAAACCTCTTCGTTGGCAACTCTATAAATCTGGCTTGATGTATCCAACTCCACAAGTCCAACCAAGTTATTTTAGTTTATATCAGTGATACCTGCTTATCCACTTTCAGTACACGTACCATTTGGGCCAGAAGTCCATAAATAATATTCATGTTTTCAAAGTAGAAATCTTAAAGTTCTAAAGGGAAATTCTGCTCAGTAGATAAATTCTCCTGGAATTTCTTGCAGCAAAGGTTCCTCAAATTTAAATCGTTTGGAAATGGCCTTCTGCTCCATTTTCTCTTTTTCAGACTGTCTGCATTGTCCTAGAGTATATGAAGCAACCACAATTAGCTCCTCTGTTACAGCTGACTCCTCAGTGTCTGGTTTCTGAGCATCTGAATTAACTTCAGGCACAGAATCACCTTCTTGAAGGGAATCTGCTTCTTCTGATGCCCCTCTCCCCTTGACAGAAGGATCCTGACTACCGCTCTGTGTCAACCACGGATGTTTTAGGCATTCTTCAGCGGTGGCTCGGTCTCTGCGTAAACATACACATTTTACACTTAAGATAGTTTAAAACTTCTATCATAAATTAGAGCATAAAGTATTATATTTATTGTTACATTTTGGGAAATATGAAGAGTGGCAAAAATCTTATTGTGATTCCTGAATAAAACTAAAAGTTTTGGCATTTGTGTGTGAATGCCATTCCCTATGATGCTGAAAAATAATATTTTATGTGAGGTATCTCTGAAAAGCCCTCCTGAAAGTCCAAGAACAGATGGAAAATATCCGTTATCCTGAGGTGCAGTTCACATTTTCTAAAAAACATTTCCATTTTTGCCACTTTTTCTTTCAACAGATATAATAAGCCAAAGGTTTCATCTAGTTTTATGTCTAGATTTCCATGTCTTCACTTTGATGTTTCACTTGTTAAACTGCTTTTTGTTCAGAGTAGATGACTCAAAATTGAAAAAGATGAATATTAACTCATACTCACTCAGGTTTTTTAACTAAAAGTGTCTTGATGAAGTCAACAGCTGACTCAGACACAACATCAAATTCTTCCTCAGAATAACTTAAATTCATCTGGGAGATGTTCAGGAAGGTTTCTTGTTTATTGTCACCTAAGAAAGGTGATATTCCTGTAAGCATGACGTATGTTAACACTCCAATGCTCCTAAATCAGAACAAAATGTAAGAAAAATTAGTATCATATTCATCTCTTAACACTAATTTGATCAATTTTTCATAAGTAACTCTTACCACATATCTGTTGCCATGCTGATTGGATCATAACTAAGAATTTCAGGAGCTAGTATCAGAAACAGAAGAAAACATTTAGTTTTGTGAAAAAAAATCTTAATTTGTGCTTAGAGATAAAAAAAATTTTTTTAATATTCATCAGTAACTATAAGACACTATCAAGGTTTGGGCTAAAATGAAATAAGTTAAGATTATAAATCAAACGTATATGAATTACTATAAAGTCTAACTAGATGTTTGTAATTAACTTGTTTACTTTTCACACCTCCTCCCTCCCTTGTTGGGTTCTAGTATTTTAAAAATATTTGAATGTATAAACACTGCAGTATAAACTGACCACTTCTGACACCTCCTCTTTCTCTAACCTCCATCTAATCAAGCACCATATCTAACAGATTACTGCTCTTAAATCTTTCTCTATGCCCCCTACTCTAGTCCATGGCACTTTCCCCTTTGACCCTCACTCATTCCACCCCTCTGATCCATTCTTCATGTTGCAGCTAGAGAGAGCTTTTAAAATATCCACTCATTAACAAAAGTCAGTCAACAAGGTTAAAAAATAATTGGCAGCCTCAGATGACATGCATCCCACACAAAGACAATGAAGCTGCTTCTCTAGAGCTGAGAAAAACAGTGTGCTTTGGTAATAGGTAACTACACTGCTGTCCTACAAAAAGGCAATAGAAAAACATTCTCAAATGTGCAAGGACTTAGGAGAAATTTATGAACATCATCCCTGAAAAGAAAAATCTACTCATTGATACTATTCAGTCAACCAAAAGATGACTTTTTTCAAAAGTATACAAATAGGAAGCTAGGCTATGAACATGACAGGCAATAAGTACTGAATCCACTTAAAAAGAGATCCAAGACTAAAAAACTGTGGTAACTGCAATTAAAAAAAGGAATGAAAATGTTCTAATTCTACGAAAAAATAAAACCATCCAAGTCGCATATCCATTACTGGTTGGGGACAAACCCCTCCCCCCCGAATATGAGGGAGGAAGAAGAGGTTGGGAGGAAATGTTAGGTACGCTAATTTCTTCAACTTGAATGTCTGAAAACTGTTGAGAAACAGAGGTTATGAATATTATTTAAAAGTTTTAAAATAAACTATTATGAAATTTAAAATGAAATGCATAGCATCCAAACTCCTGGAGGGGAAAAAGGAAAACAACGACCAGGGTGGGAGGAAGGGGCAGGAAATAACAACAGCTTACTTTTTTGATGTAAAGTGTTTATTACGTGCTGACCTCTGACGTAAGAGCCTCATGTACTATGATAAGCCCTGTCTTATGGCCAGAAGACTGTCCTCTGTCCACATCTCAGAGAGATATGGGGGCTGAGGTCACACAGGTAGCCAGTACGGAGCAGAACTCGCCCAGGCGTCAGCTCTGGGTATAAAGTGCTGGGAGGAGGCTTAAACCCACCTTTAAAAGGCAGGCTGGGGAAAGAAAGAGAGGAGAGCCCCTTTTTCTGTATTATATACTTCTGAATTATTTTCAGTTTTTTTCGATTGGGCTTGTACTATTTTAATAAAATAAAGAAGACAGTTCTGTTTTTTGGAGGGAAAAAAAGCTCTTGGTAGAAAATTTAGAATTTCCAAAGAACAGAAAGCACTGGGAGAAAAACCAAACAAACCTCGTTCAGGGCCATAATTACTATTGAAACCTCAGGTCATAGCCCTTCATTCTGCTGTCTTCCGTATTTCTCCTACTTTACAACGAACGCTACCCACTAAAAACTGGCAAAACTATCTGGGTGCTGCTGTTGCTAAGCCACATGCCTAACACGTACCTAGCGGTCACACTGCCTATCACTCAGCATACTGAAAATTAAGTATTTTAGTCCACAAAAAAAAAAAAAATTTTAAAGATTGTTTTTCTGCCTGTGATACCTTTTATTAATTAAAGATTTGTTTCAAATTGCAGGACTTCAAAAAATTATTTTAAAACTTCAAATTATTCTTTGTACCATCATTGCCAAACAGCTTCGTTTTCCTCAACCCTATCTGTCCTCCTGGACTTCTGTGTCCTCTGGAACCCCTTGTCCCTTGTCAATCAATCCCACCATCCTCAGCCCCTTCAAGGACCACTCCTTCCACCCTCTGCTCCCCAGGCCCCAGGCCCTCTAGAATGGAGACTGCCTGTCTGCCCACTTGACACTCCTTCCCTTCAGGCCCAGGCCACAGCCTTCTCTGCTCCTGGTCACACTGCTGTCATCTACAGACACCTCCTTGTCATCTACAGAATCCTCCTCCCCAAGGCCTGCCATCTCCCCGGGCAACTTCCACACTGATGCCCATGACCACGCAGCCTGGCATCCACGCTTCTTGACCTCCTGGTTTAAAGAGCTGCCCTTCCAGAACCACGTCCAAGGCCTTGTCATTGCAAAGAGCTGTTTCATCTCTGAAATTTTAAATGTTAATATTGTAATAATCTCCTATCACAACCTTTAAATTATTTCACTGCATTGCTCTACTACGGAAATCTTTTCTTTTTCAACCTCATTGAAACCACTAATCCGTCTGCACCCTATTTTTCTTCCAGTCTATCAAAAAAGTCATCGTTTACTTCTTTTTCTGTCAAACCTACAAGCCATGGATCTGCTCTCTTGCTAGTTCCTTCAAGGTTTAAGCTACTTTTTCTTTCTGCCAGAAGCTCTCAAACTTGCATCCATCCAATAGAATGCCCTCTCTGTTTCACACACCTATGGAATCGCAGGGCTTGCAATTACTTTAACAATGTTTATTACCAACTTGAAGTTCCTCAAAGGTTCTTGTTAAAAATCCTCCCACCCTCAGATAACCTTACATCCTATACTTTGTAAAGAAAATCCTCTCCTATTCCTTATAGAAGCAATACCCTCAAATTCTCTTAGCCTTCCCGGAAAGGGATCACCAATTTGACACTTTACTCTTTAAAGTTTTCCATTGTTTAATTTAATACAAAGGAAGGAATCTCTGATGGGAGAATTTCAACATAGCAGATGGCTGGCCCCACTATTATCACACCACATGTGACTTCCCTAACGAAGGTGATGCCTGACCCCAGACACAAAACACATCCCACTCTTAAGAATACTTACCCACATACTCAGGAGTACCCATAATTTCTCGGAGCTCTTCACTATTCTTCATTATTCTTGAAAGACCAAAATCAACTATCTTAATGTCACCCAGTGGAGATTCACTTGTCAGCAGAATATTCTGAGGCTAAAAAAATAACACCCCCCCAAATTAATAAAACCATGTTTGAGTATAAAGACCATGTAGCTCTTAAAACAGACAAATTTCTCCTGTGAAATTGAGACCGGGGAATTTCACATTCAGCAGTCATCCATTAAACAAATACGTGTAAGGCAGCAGGCCTTGTACAATCTCTTCCCTTACCCTGGTTCCTCCTCAGCACATAGACATGCACCTACCTCTATCTTAAAAACAAAACCAAACCACACAAAACATTCCTCCCGTGAGCCTGCATCCTTTCTAGCCAACATACTCTCTCCCTGTTCCCTCCAAGCTCAGCTCCTTGAAAGCATGGTCACGTACACCTGCTATCACTTCTCAATCCGGCTGAATCTGGATTTTGCCTCCTTGACTCAAGCTGGTCTCACTAAGGTCACAAAATCTTTAATAATCAAAGACCCACCAAATCCAGTGGATGTCTTTCAGGCACTATTTTGCATGCCTTGATGGTGGTATAATTTGGCACTGTCAATCATTCTTACTTTCTCTCTTGTAACTATTTCTCCATCTACAGATCCCTCACCGTTTTCTCACAATTTTTTTCTTCTGCGCCCCCCCCTTTTTTTTTTTGTGAGGAAGATCAGCCCTGAGCTAACATCTGCCAATCCTCCTCTTTTTTTGCTGAGGAAGACTGGCCCTGGGCTAACATCCATGCTCATCTTCCTCCACTTTATATGGGACGACGCCACAGCATGGCTTGACAAGCGGTGCGTCGGTGCGCCCGGGATCCGAACCAGCGAACCCCAGGCCACCGCAGCAGAGTGTGCACACCTAACTGCCTGCACCACCCGGCCGGCCCTGCCCTCCTTTTAAATATTGGTGTTGCCCAAGATCTCTTGCTGGCTAGCCCTCTTCTCCCAACACACTACATTCTATTTTAGAGCACTTTCATCTACTATCCAAGCTTCAGTTGCCACTTAGATGCTGATGCAGACTCACAGATCCAATTAAAATTAGATCTTTTCATTTGGCTGAAATGTACCATGTCTTCAACTTCCCACTAAGGGGCAAGGCCTTCAATTCAGTAAACACCTCAGGCAGAGACTCTTCCTCAGCCCCAACAAACCCTGTCTCCTTCATTTTCAACCATTTTTCACATCTAGTGAAGTCATCAGTCATGCTAATTCTGTTTCCTAAATTTCAGTTTCCCCACTGCTTAAAGTTTGAACTTTCATTATTTCTTACCTGGACCACTACCCTCTTGTCTCTAGTTTTCCCCTTCAATCCATCCTCCATTGTACAGTAATCTTTCCATGCTGTAAGTCTGCTCAGGATCTCCTCCTGTGGCGGTACATTGCTAGTCATCACCAGCAGACACACTATCAAGTGGGGGTGGGGGTGGCATGGATGTATATGGTGACGGGCAAGAGTTGCCCAATGCCACAGAATCAAGAAGGTTGATATTCCTGGAGTCATTTTTACCCAACTGAAAATAACTTAAGACACTTTTATATAAGAAGTCAAGCAGATATATTATGGACTAGAATGTAAAATTCATTAGAATTTTTAAAATAAAACATGACATTTGAAAGAAAAGTTTATGTTGCTTCACAAGGGGTCTGCACTTACTGTCTTCTGCCATTAAGAATATTTCCAAAGACAAATTGAGAAGCAGTGGTATCAATAAAGTATAGATACCTCATTCTGGCACCCAGAGTGTTTTACCATCTGGCCCCTGCCTCCTTTTCAAGACTAATCTGTCACCATTCCGCAGGCCATCTGTGTTCCCAACCAAACAGGCGAGACATACACTCCCACGTCTCGTGCCTTTGCTCAGGAAGCCCTCTCCCCTTCTCTGCCTGACAAATTTATTTTCACCATTCACTCCATGCCTGGTGGGTCTCAGCAAAGCCCCGAGTCCTCTATAAAGCCTTCTCTGACCACCCCTCCCGCCTTCCCAGGAGGGTCGGATGCCTGCTCCCTCTCTACTCCACAGGATCTTGTACATGGCAAACTTATCCCACTGTTTGGTTAACTCTCTTTTTCTGTCTCGTCCACGACACTGTGGTTCTCCCGAGGTTTATGAATGTTCACACTTCCTTTCCTTCCACTCATATTCAACCACTCCATCCACTTCTGTCTTCTCATTCCACTACAACAGGTCACTAAAATCCAACGTTATTTTTCAGTACTTTCTCCTGGACCACCATCTTAGCAGAACTTGACATTGCTGCCACTCCTTCTTGGGCTTCCAGAACAAAACACCATCCTGCTTTTCCTCCTAACTCTCTGGCTGCTGTTCTGTCTCCTTTGTTGGTTCATCTTCCTTTACCTGGCCCATTAAACGCTGGCTTCCTCGTAGCTTGATTTTGAGGCTCTTTTCTCTTCTCACTCCACACTCTCACCTCGCATGGTCTATCTGCCCCCAAGGCTTTATTATCACCTATACCTATGAGTCACAAATTTTTATCTTTGGCTCAGGGCTCTTCTTAGGGCTCTAGAACTCTTCAACCAACTGCTTACCTAATCTCTCCCCCTTTGATGTCTCAAAGGCATCTCAAATTCAACACCCAAACCAGACTTGGCCAGACCTCGTGGTCTAGTAGTTAAGATTTGGCGCTCTCACTGCTGCGGCCTGGGTTGTTTCCTAGTCAGGGAACTACACCACCCACCTGTCAATTGTCATTCTGTGGGAGCTGTGGGTTGCTATGATGCTGAAAGCTGTGCCACTGGTTATTTCCAATACCAACAGGCTCACCCATGGTGGACAGGTTTCAGCTGAGCTTCCAGACTAAGACAGACTAGGAAGAAGAAACGGGCCACCTATTTCTGAAAAAATTGGCCATAAATAGCAGCAAAGCATTGTCTGATATGTGCTGGAAGGTGAAGATAGCGCAAAAAGACCAGGCAGGGTTCCACTCTGCTGTACACAGGGTGTCTAGGAGTTGGAATCCACTTGATGGCACTAACAAAAAAACCCAGACTCCTATTTTCCCTCCCAAATCAGATTCTCTTTATGCCAATGACTGGCATATCAGTGAATGCTGTTCTCATCCAGCAAGATGGGAGAGAATACTAAGAATCATCTTTGTCATTCCTCTCTTCCCCTTTCCTCCTCCATTTAGCTAACGTGTCACCATATCCTACTGATTTCAAATCGTAGATTTAAGCATTTCTAGACTTTGTCTACTTCTTTCCAACTACAGAACACTGATTCAAGCTACCACCATTGTTTGCTCAAATTGCAACAGACTCTAAATGGTCTGCCAGGATCTACTCTGCCTGTACTGCAGCCAGAAAGACCTTTTGTACAATATAAATCTGATCTGTTAACCCCCTGCCTAAGCCCTCAGTAGCTTCTCATTCCTCTTATGATAACCTCCAAACTGCTTAACGTAGTATACAGAACCCTAGTAGGGTGAGCTCCTGCCTAGCTTTCCAGACTCATCATATATCTGTTCCCCTTGGCTCAGTGAAATGGAGTCTCAGCGGACATTGTTCAGTCTCCATACGCACCATGTTCTCTCTCACGACAGTATCTTTGTATCTGGTATTCCCTCTACCTAGGATGCCTTTTTTTTTTTTTGGTGAGGAAGATTGGCCCTGAGCTAACATCTGTTGCCAATCTTCCTCTTTCTGCTTGAGGAAGACTGTTGCTGAGCTAACATCTGTGCCCATCTTCCCTTGTTTTGTATGTGGGACACTGCCACAACATGGCCTGACAAGCGGTGTGTAGGTCCACACCCAGGATCTGAACCTGCAAACCCCAGGCTGCTGAAGTGGAGCATATGAACTTAACTACTACGCCAGTGGGCAGGCCCTGCCTCTTCTTCTGTTCTTCTTTGCCTAGTGTCAACTGGGTAAGAAGACCTAGGATGGCAGTGAAGCAGATTATAACAATTTTCAAAAGCGTGAAGGGCTGCAATATGAAAAAGGGAATTGAGGTATAGATGGTCCCTCTCTTGAAATATGGTTGACCCAACCATCCACCCCACCCCTTTCTATTATGAAAATGCTTGTAGATTTATCAAAGTTTGGATTCAGAAACAGAGAATAGGAAGAATCTACAGCTCCTTGAGAACAGGACCTGCAGTCCTGGTCACTGTGACATCACCAGGATCAGGGCCTGCACACAGTAGGCACACATTATTTGCTGAGTGAATGAAGGGAAGAAATGTGACTGACTATAAAACAAATTGTTAAGGGTGTCTATTTTGTGTCAGGAATGGTGGTACTATGAATATGAGTAATAACAAGTCCCTAATGTCAAAGAGTTCATAAGCAGAAGAAAAAACAGACTTATCAGGCTCAGGGAACTCTGCTGTGTGGTGTCAGTGCTGTGGCAGACACAGTGCTCATGGAATAAATAAATAAGAGGGAATAATTTTGCCTTAGAGAATTACAGAGGAGATAACTGAGCAGACCCTGAAGGAGAAAAAGGATTTCATCCTTTATTCAACAAATTTTTACTGACTGCCTACTGAGCTGTGACCTAGGGAAAAACAGACAACAAGACATGAGTCCCCTGTTCTTTTGGAGCCTTACATCCTAATGGGGACAAGTAAGTGCAACTAAGTAATATAACCTCAGGTAGTTTTAAGCACTATGGAGGACTCAGAATAGGGTAATGGAAGAGAGAGTGTCTGCTGGGGGTGTGTGTGCACGTGGATGCTATTTTTGGGGTAGTCAGGGAAGGCTTCTCTGTGCAGGCAGTATTTGAGGAGAGAACAATGTTAAGAAGGAGCCAATCATGGCAGAGTATCCTGGGGTGGGGTGGGCAGGGAGCATCCCAGGCCGAGGGAAGAGCAAGGAGAACAGCCCCGAGGCAAGGACAGGCTACCAGTGGAGGAAGTGCCAGCTGCAGAACAGCACACAGGATGTGGTGGCAGGCGTGAGCCTGGACAGCAAGTGGGGGGTGGGGGGACAGGAATCACAGGGCTTTGCAGGCCATTCTGGAGTAACTGGCAGAAGGCAGACCAGAGGGGAGAGAAAGGACATTCCAGGAAAAGAAAAGGTCACTTGTCCAA